TAAATAAGTAGAAGAAGGTATTTTCATATCACTGATATTTGTTTAAAGAGACCTGGACTTAAGTAAAATTTTAAAAAAAGTAAAAACATGCTCTTAAGTCACTGATAATTACAGAAATTTAGATTAAAACACAATGAACTGCCATTTTTAAATCCATTGCATTGACACAGATTTTTTAAAAATTTGTTAAGAAAAATTATCCAAAACCTGCATATAAGGCCAAGAGGATAGTCCTCCTTTCAATGTCATATTGAAGAATCATTTAAAAGCCCAAGGATTACTTCTTAATTGTTTGATGTTGCTATTTACTGTTAATGAACGGCTAAGACTCTATAAGATGTAAATTTGTGCCTGGTAGAGATGCAAATAAAATAATTTTTGTCCCAAAGAAAAGATAACCTCAAAAGTTATGATTTATTGCACTGTGTACATTAACCATTTTTGTATCTAGCCTAGCAGTTGTTTCATATTTTGTTGACTATATTAACCTAATTCCTCAAATGGTCTTTGAAATAGCTTTTTGATCTTACAAAGTTTCTCATTAATTAATGAGCTGAATAAATTCTTGACACATACATTCCGTGTTTGTAGAAATATATTTGAGAGTCATATTTAATTTTTGAAAATACATGGACAAGTCCGACAAGAACAAGAATTTTTGCAAGATTATGGAGAGACATGAACCCTCATACACTGATTTTGGGTGTATCAATTGGAAAGGCTCTTTGGAAGGCAGTTTAGCAGTAGTTGTTAAAACTGATAATGTGCGTAAGTTGTGACCCAACAATTCCTTTTCTAAGATTCAATGTTAGAGAAACGTGTTCACATAGGCACCAAGACATTTGTTGTTGCAGTGTTTGCCAGAGTGAGGAATTGGAAATGATTTAACTGTTCATCAGAAGGGTTTTGAATAAGTTAGTAACACATAAATATGATAGAATGCTATACAGCCACAAAAATGAATCTGTTGTAAAAGTATGATAGATCTCAGGAACAAAATGCCAATGAAAAAAATGTCAGTGGAAATGGCTGATGGATATAGCATGATTTTATATATGTATATATGTGTGTGTGTGCACGTGTGTGTGCATGCATGTATGTATGTGTGTATATAAGTATATGTATATATATATATGTCACATACATATATATGACAAAACAATACATTTGTAAAGATATCTGCCAAAACCATACAGGTGCCTTTGGATTGGTGAACAAGTCAAGATGGGGAGGTATCAAGAGAGACTTTTGCTTTCTTATATACATTTCAGAAGTAAATAAATGCACATATTGTGTAATTTTAAAAATGTTTTCTCATGGCAATGATGAAAATCTCTGAAATAGGTACTAGAACTTCTGATTCCTGGTTCTGCCCAGTCACTAACTCCGGTCATATAATTTCAAACTGCTCACCTGAACTTGCTTTGCTAGGATTTGCCTTTCTATGAATTAGGAATTTAAAACAAAAAATTTAAAAGCCCATACTGTTGTGAGGACAAATAAACTGGTAGATGGCAGAAACACCCTCGGGGACCTGTGTTATATAAATGTTAGGAACAGATACAGAGGCACCAGAGTAGTTTCAAGTTGTAAGTCAAGCTGATTAGCTAGTTCAATGGCTCGGGCTACATAATAAAATGTGAAAATGGAGAACAAAGAGGAGCTCTCTGGGTCACTGTTTATCTTCCAAGCTTGGTGTAGAATTACACAGGTGTATCAAAGGAGGAGCCCTGGTTGTAGGTAAGAGCTTTGGAAACCAGATACCTCAATCCGATTAATAAAGAGTAAATAAGGGGAATAAAAGACTTCATGAAATTCAAGGCCTTAACTTTCAAGGGGATGTTTACTTTTCTGTTTATTTTTCTTCTACGGTTGTTTTGTTTTGGCTTAGGTATTTTTTTTTTTAAGTTTTATCTTTTCTCCTTAGCCCTCAAAGTTAAGAGAAAGACAGTGCAAAAGTTGGTAGTCAGTCCTCCAGGTCACCCTCTGTGTTCTGCTCATTCTGGACTTGACAACACAGTAGGAAGCTGGAGGTTGCAAGAGTCTGAAAAATAAGATTGAACACTCAGCCTAAACACCAAAGTGAGATTGGAATAGGGGAGGTGATCCTGGCCCTAGGGTGACTGAAACCCCACAAGTCCCACAATTTGTAACCACCCCCAATATGCAAAGTTAGAGCTAAGGAGTCTTTTTTCATCACTACCTGTGCTTAGGATAAGTTTGATGAACTATTCATAGGAGCACTATGATTGACTTTTGAGTTCTGCCTCACCAGTTCTATCCACAGTAAGGCAATCAGTGAGCATCCACACACTACAGCTCTTCCCTATTTCTCTACAAAAGAGTAGCAGTGAAGGGGTCTCATAGCTATGAACATTTTCAGACACATTAACTGATTTGATCCTCACAACAGCCCTCTGGGATGGGGAGGTGGAAGATAATTGCCCCGTGGCAGATGAAGAAACCGAGGGCTCCAAAAGGGTCTGAAGTTGTCCCAAACTCATGGCTAGCCCCAAACTGAAGGCCTCCCTGCTGACCCCACCAGCCTCATCTGGCCTTTTTCCCAGCTGCACTTGGCTCTCTTTCACCATCTCAAAGCCCCAGTGCCTTCCCACTTAGAGCCTGGTCCCAGGCCTGGCAGGTGTTCTCCCTCCCTCTACTACCTTCCCCCACTCCCGAGTCCCGCTCATCCTTTGGCCTGTGCTTCTTAAACCCTAATGTTCCTAAGAATCCCCCGGGAGCTTACTAAAAAGCAGATCTTGATTTGGTAGATCTGGGTGGAGCCTGAGAGTGCTTTTCTGTTCCCAGACCTCATTGTCTGCAGACTGCTCTGAGTAGCAAGGCTGATTTTAGCATACACCAGACAAAATAAGTCTGGAAAGTCTCAGGAGACACTGTTGTACAATTTCATAGTGTCTGCATTGGCTCATAATTGTAACTAAGCATTAATTATGTTTTCCCAGCTGGAATATAATCTCTGTGAGGACAGGGATAATAAAAATCTCATTCATGTTTGTATAGCCAATGTCTAAGAGTGCTTGGCACATGGAAATGCTTTCCAAATATCTGTTCAATTAATAA